TCTCATGACTTCTATTCAACATAGTATCAAATTTCTGAGCCACAGCAGTCAGACAAGACAAGGAAATTAAAGGTATCCAAATTGGAAGGGAAGAGGTGAAATTGTCATTATATGCAGATGATATGATGCATATACACATATAGAAAACCCTAAAGACTCCACACAAAAATTACTAGAACTGATCAATGAGTTCAGCAAGGTAGCAGGATACAAGATTAACAAACAGAAATTGGTTGCATTTCTTTTCACTAACAATGAAATATCAGAAGAAGAAAGTTAAAAAAAATCCCTTTTAAAATTGCACGAAACAAACAAAATAGTACTTAGGCATAAGCCTGACCAAGGAGGTGAAAGACTTATATCCCAAAAACTATAAAATATTTTTAAAGGAAATTGAAGATGATTAGAAGAAATAGAAAGATATCCCATGATCCTGGAATGAAAGAATTAATATTATTAAAATGGCCATACTATCCAAAGCAATCTACAGGTTTAATGCAATCCCTATCAAATTACCCATGACGTTTTTCAATGAACTAGAACAAATAACCCTAAAATTTATGTGGAACCACAAGAAGACCCAGAATTGCCAAAGTAATCCTGAGGAAAAAAGAAGAGAGCTAGAGGCATAACCTCACAGACTTCAGACAATACTACAAAGCTACAACAATCAAAACTGCATGGTATTGGCACAAAAAGAGACATATAGATCACTGCAATAGAAGAGAGAGCTCAGAAATAAACCCACACACCTATGGTCGATTAATCTTTGACAAAGGAGGCAAGAAAATACAATGGAGAAAAGACAGTCTCTTCATGAAGTGGTGGTGGGAAAGCTGAATAGCTGCATGTAAATAAATGAACTGAGAACACATCCTCAAACCATTCACAAAAATAAACTCAGAATGGCTTAAAGGATTAATTATAAGACATGACACCATAAAACTCCCAGAAGAGAACATAGGCAGAATACTCTTTGACATAAATTGTAGCAATATTTTTTTGGATCTGTCTCCTAAGGCAAAAGAAATAAAAGCGAAAATAAACAAATGAGACCTAATCAAAGGAAACAAAACAATAAGACAACCTACAGACTGGGAAAATATTTGCAAGTGATGTGACCGACAAGGGAATAATCTCCAAAATATACAAATATACAGCTCATACAACTCAATATCCAAAAAACAAAAAACCCAATCAAAAAAGGACAGAACACCTAAATTGACATTTCTCCAAAAACGGCATAGAGATGGCCAAAAGGCACATGAGAAGATGTTCAATATTGCTAATTATTAGAGAAATGCAAATCAAAACTACAATGAGATATCACTTCACACCAGTCTGAATGGTCATCATCAAAAAGTCTATAAATAATAAGTGCTGGAGAAGGTGTGGAGAAAAGGGAATTCTCCTACACTGTTGGTAGGAATGTAAATTTGTGCAGCTACTATAGAGAATAGTATGGATGTTCCTCAAAACACTAAAAATAGAGTTGCCATAGGATCCAGCAATCCCACTCCTGGGCATATATCCAAAGAAAAATCTAATTTGAAAAGATACATGCACCCCAATGTTCATAGCAGCACTATTTACAATAGCCAAGACATGGAAGCAACCTAAATGTCCATCACTAGATGAATGGATAAAGAAGATGTGGTATATATGTATACCATGAAATATTACCCAGACATAAAAAAGAATAAAATAATGTAATTTGCAGCAATGTGAATGAGCCTATAGATTATCATACTAAGTGAAGTCAGAGAAAGACAAATATCACATGATATCACTTATATGTGGAATCTAAAAAAAATGACACAAATGAACTTATTTACAAAACAGAAACTGACTCACAGACACAGAAAACAAACTTATGGTTACCAAAGGGGAAAGGAGGAGTGATAAGTTAGGAGTTTGGGATTAACAAATACACACTATTATATATAAAGTAGAAAAACAACCAGGACCTACTCTATGGAACAGGGAACTATATTCAATATCTTGTAATAACCTATAATGGAATAGAATCTGATAAAGAATAACATATATATACAAAAACTGAATCACCCTGCTGTACACCAGAAACTATCACAACACTGTAAATCAACTCTACTTAAAAAAAAAGAAATTGAAGAATAAAAATCATATGATCATATTAATAGATGCAGAAAAAGGTTTTGACAAAATTCAACATCCACTTACAATTAAAAACTCTCCACAAACTGGGTATAGAAGGAACATACCTCATCATAATAAAGCCCATATATGATAAACCCACAGCTAACAGCCTACTAAAAAGTGAAGAGCTAAAAGCATTTCCTCTAAGATCAGGAACAAGACAAGGATGCCCATTCTTGCCACTTTTTTTCAACATAATATTGGAAGTCCTAGCCGTAGCAATCAGACAAGAAAAAGAAGCAAATGGAATCCAAATTGAAAAGAAAGAAGTAAAATTGTCACTATTTGCAGATGACGTGGTACTAAACATAGAAAATTTTAAAGGCAGCACCAAAAAGTACTATAACTCATCAATGAATTCAGTAATGTTTCAGGATACAAAATTAATATACAGAAATCTGTTACATTTCTACATATTAAGAACAAACTATCAGAAAGAGAAGTTAGGAAAACAATCCCATTTACCATCCATCAAAAAAAGAAAACCTAATTAAGGAGGTTAAAACTCCTTAATTGGAGTTGGAAAACTGGACAACTTTGAGACATTAAAGCATTGGAAAACGCTAAGACACTGATGAAAAAAACTGAAGAGGACAAAAAAGATGACAAGTGATACTGTGTCCATGGATTGGAAGAATTAACATTGTAAAAATGATCATACTACCTAAGGCAATGTACAGATTCAATGCAATCCCTATCAAAATATCAGTGGTATTTTTCATAGAAGTAGAAAAAAAATTCTAAAGTGTGTATGGAAACACAAAAGATCTTAAATAGCCAAAGCAATCTTGAGAAAAGCCTCAGAGCTGGAGGTATCATGCTCCCTTCAGACTACATTACAAAGCTACAGTCATCAATACAGTATGGTACTGGCACAAAAACGGATACATAGATCAATGGGTTAGAAGAGAGAGCCTGGAATAAACCCATGCACTTCTGGTCTATTAATCTATGACAAAGAAGGCAAGAATATACAATGGGGAAAAGACAGTCTCTTCAATAAGTGGTGCTAGGAATACTGGACAGCTACATGTAAAAGAATGAAATTAAAACATTTTCTCACAGCATATAGGAAAATAACCTCAAAATGGATTAAAGACCTAAATGTAAGACTGGAATCAATAAAACTCCTAGAAGAAAACATAAGCAGAATACTATAAAGAAGATGTGGTACATATATATGCAGTAGAATACCACTCAGCCATAAAAAAAGAATGAAATTTTGCTGTTTGCAACCAAACGGATGGACCTGGAGGGTATTATGCTTAGTGAAATAAGTCAGACAGAGAAAAACAAATACTGTATGATATCATTTGTATGTGGAATCTCAAAAAAATAAAACAAACAAATGAATATAATAAAACAAATAGACTCACATATATAGAGAACAAACTAGTGGTTTCCAGTGGGGAGACGGAAGGAGGAGGGGCAAGATAAGGGTAGGGAATTAGGAGACAAAAATTATTAGGTATAAAATAAATAAGATACAAGGATGCTATGTACAGCACTAGGAATATAGCTACTATTTTATAAAAACTTTGAATGGAGTATAAATGGAAAAATTATGAACCACTATGTTATATACCTGAAAGTAATATAATATTGTAAATCAACTATACCTCAATTAAAAAAAACATGAAAAGTGAAATAAAAGGTATGACTGTAATAAAAACATAAAAAATGAAATAAAAATTTAAAAAACCCACCAAAATTACATTGATTGAATCTTTAACTTCCGGATTCCAAGCATGGCAAGATAAACCACCAAATAGTATTGCTTTCCTTCTAAAAAAAAAAAAATGTTGCTGGAAATGCTGTTATTCCAGAAATCAAAACTGGCTCTTCTTGGAGACTAATTCTTTTTTTTTTTTAATTAATTAATTTATTTATTTATTTTTGGCTGTGTTGGGTCTTCGTTTCTGTGTGAGGGTTTTCTCTAGTTGCGGCGAGTGGGGGTCACTCTTCATCGTGGTGTGCGGGGGAGACTAATTCTTATATAATTTTCCCAGCTGAGGCAGATCCTGGAAAGGAATTTAGTGACCAGGTATCCTGATCAAGGATGGGCTTTGTAACCCTATTGTGCTGGGCCCATCCTCAGGAGGGTTAAAAAAGAACATTTATGGGTTGAAGGGCCCCTTACTAAATCCCTGCTTTCAGGGAACCCAGAGCGTGAGTAAAGGATAAGTCATGGGTCATGACACAACAAAGGCAGAGAGAAAATAAAACAAGGGCATCACAGGCACCATCACATGCACTTGCGGAAGTCTGTGGCTTTGGCATCCCTTTTTCAATTATACTCAGAAATAAACTTAAATATCAAAATAATTTAAAGGTTAATGTCATGAAAAATAAAAGTACATATTCTGATTTGTACCATGGCAAAATTATTACCACAAAAAACAGTAATGAAATCAATTACACAGACTAATAAGAAAAAAATTTTAAGGTAAATATTATTTCCTTCTTTAAACTGACACAATATTTTCATCCATATTTCCAAGATTGCTGAATAAATTGAATATAAGCAGTCACTGCTACTTATACAAAGATCATATTACAAACTTAAAGAATTTCTAAGATATCTTTTTGATACCTCTGGTTTTGTAATATACAATAAATTATGGGTTAGTTCTTTGGAACATCAATTATATTGACTTAATTTTCTATAAGATCAAAATGGATGCAAATATGTATCTCTATAGTAGTAAATATCACATGTAATATTTTTCTAACTTAAGATGAATTTTCCTCAACACAAGCAAGAACAGCCTCAGAGAGTCCATCAGAATGCATCCTGAAGAGACTGAAAGATTTCCACTTACCTGAGAGAGAAGAGCCGGCTCGTGCTGACACATGACTGTGTTCCGGTTGGCTTCCATAAAATACCTCTGTGTGCGTCTCCGTTCCCGTTCCAGCTTCTTCTCCAAGGTCAGCTGGGATGCGGATAAATTATCTACATACTTCATCATGACATCTGATATCATGGAGCTGACTTCTACAATATCTGGGCGGGTTTCTGCATCAGGAGTGAGGCATCTAAGGGAAGATAACCTAATTACAGCCCTCTAGTCAAAATCGGGACCAGGCCACGGGGTGTGAATGGCCAAGTTTAAATTCTGCTGTGTGTCCCCCATGATGTTTGCACCCAAGAGAACCCGGGCGAGGTGGACATCAAGCATAGCTTTGCATCGAAGACCTCTCAAAAGGCATTTGGAAAGTTTGGGGAGGAGAGGGAGCAGCACTGTTCTCTTTGCAGCTAGGCTGGTGGGCAAGGGTTACAGGCTGCATAGGAAGCTGCTCCCAGTCTCAGGATGGGCAGGTGGGGTCTGCGTCTGCTTGTGTAAGTGGTTATTTTCTAAAACCACTCCAACTCATTGGCCAGTTAAACAAAGAATGATCCCAATAATATAGGCCCTGATGATCACACCTGATGCACCAAAAGGAAGGCAGGATTCTTGGGGGGTGGGCAGATAACAACTTTTTGGCCTTTTCCAGCTGTATAGGGGCAATGTCAACAACTTTGATTAGTGAGAGTCTTACAAAGCATGATGTCATAAAAATAAAATTCAACCCAGTTACTTAGAGGTTTAAGGTGTGCTTCATAATTTTTAACAGTAGATAATTTGACACATCACATGCTAAAACTTTTCTCGGGGCTTCCCTGGTGGCGCAGTGGTTGAGAGTCCACCTGCCGATGCAGGGGACACGGGTTCGTGTCCCGGTCTGGGAAGATCCCACATGCCGCGGAGCGGCTAGGCCCGTGAGTCATGGCCGCTGAGCCTGTGCTCTGCTACGGGAGAGGCCACAACAGTGAGAGGCCTGCGTACCGCGAAAAAAAAAAAAAATCTCGAATTTTGGCAGTAGGAAATATCAATCAGCCTGCTAAAGGGAGCGTTGTTTCTGTCACAGCTAAACACTAAGAGAAGGCTATTCTAGATGCTTGTGTAACCAATTATCAAGATCACTGGTTAGCATAATTTAAAACATTCTGGTCCTCACTACAATATTTGTCTATCTTTTTAATTCAAAAGCTCTAATTTCAATGAAGTTATGTGTACTTCTCAATAAAATTTAACTTATTTGGACTTTGACTAAAATATCTAATTTTCACATCTTGTATTTGATTTAGCAACCCAAAGTTAATACAACTTTCAACTATACTAATGTCTCCAGGCAAGATTCAAGAATTATTACTCACAATTACTATTAATAACAGAAATGAAAATAACACTCTAACTTGTTATTTTTCTAATTATTCGTCCTTGAGCTTTCTTTGCATTTATTTATTTATTTTATTTTTCTTTTATTCTAAATTGTAGATGATTTACAATGTTAGAGTAGTTTCAGGTATACAACATAGTGATTGAATATTTTTATAGATTGTATTCCATTTAACGTTATTATAAAATATTGGCTATAGTCCCTGTGCTGTACAATATATCCTTATATCTATTTCATATCTAGTAGTGTACCTCTTAATCACCTTCCCTTATCTTGCCTCTCCCCCAACCCCTCTACCCACTGGTTTGTTCACTGTATCTATGAGTCTGTCTATTTTGTTATATTCATTCGTTTGTTTTACTTTTTAGATTAATATATGTGATAAGATACAGTATTTTTCTTTCTCTGTCTGACTTAGTTCAACTAGCATGATACCCTCTAAGTCCATCCATGTAGTTGCAAGTGGCAAAATTTCGTTCTTTTATATGGCTGAGATAATTCCTATGTATTTTATTCTTTGGGAAGCAACCATAAATGGCATTATTTTCTTACATTCTCTTTCTGAGAATTCATTATTATATGTTGTTTAAAAATCAATAGATTTCCATATAATAATGTTGTATCCTGATTTACTGAATCACTTAGTAGTTCTAATAGTTTTTTGGTGGAGAACTTAGGGTTTTATATATATAGTATCATGTCATCTGCAAATAGTGACAATTTTACTTTTTCCCTTCCAATTTGGATGCCTTTTATTTCTTTTTCTTGTCTGACTGCTGTGCCTAGGAATTCCAGTACTATGTTACCTAGAAATAGTGAGAGTGGGCATCCTTGTACCTGATTTTAGAGACAATCTAATGATAACCCTGCTGGTATCCTAGGTGGTAGGGCTAGGGTTTTTGTTTTTGTTTTGCTTTTGCTTTTCAGTACGTTAAATATATCATACCACTCCCTGTGGCCTGCAATGTTTCTGCAGAAAAATCAGCTGAAAGCCTTATGGAAGTTCCCTGTAACTGACTGTTTTTCTCTTGCTGCCTTTATTTTATTTTTTTTCTTTTTATTCTTTTTTTCTTTATTGGAGTATAATTGCCTTACAATGGTGTGTTAGTTTCTGCTTTATAACAAAGTGAATCAGCTTTACATATATATATATATATATATATATATATATATACTTATATCCCCATATCTCCTCCCTCTTGCATCTCCTTCCCAACACCCTCCATAACCCACCCCTCTAGGTGGTCACAAAGAACCGAGCTGAAATCCCTGTGCTATATGGCTGCTTCCCAGTAGCTATCTATTTTACATTTGGTAGGGTATCTATGTCCATGTCACTCTCTCACTTCATCCCAGCTTACACTTCCCCTTCCCCGTGTCCTCAAGTCCATTCTTTACGTCTGTGTCTTTATTCCTGTCCTGTGCCTAGGTTCTTCAAAACCATTTTTCTTTTAGATTCCATACATATGTGTTAGTATATGGTATTTGTTCTTCTCTTTCTAACTTACTCCACTCTGTATGACATACTCTAGGTCCATCCACCTCATTAAAAATAACTCAATTTCATTTCTTTTTATGGCTGAGTAATATTCCATTGTATATATGTACCACACCTTCTTTATCCATTCATCTGTTGATGGACACTTAGGTTGTTTCCATGTCCTGGCTATTGTAAATAGAGCTGCAATGAACATTGTGGTACATGACACTTTTTGAGCTATGGTTTTTTCAGGGTATGTGCCTGGTAGCAGGATTGCTGGGTCATATGGTAGTTCTATTTTCAGTTTTTTAAGGAACCTCCATACTGTTCTCCATACTGGCTGTATCAATTTACATTCCCACCAACAGTGCAAGAGGGTTCCCTTTTCTCCACACCCTCTCCAGCATTTATTATTTGTAGGTTTTTTGATTATGGCCATTCAGACTGGTGTGAGGTGAAACATCATTGTAGTTTTGATTTGCATTTCTCTAATGATTAGTGATGTTGAGCATTCTTTCATGTGTTCGTTGGCCATCTGTATATCTTCTTTGGAGAAATGTCTATTTAGGACTTCTGCCCATTTTTAGATTGGGTTGTTTGATTTTTGATATTGAACTGCATGAGCTGCTTGTATATTTTGGAGATTAAACCCTGTCAGTTGCTTCATTTGCAAATATTTTCTCCCATTCTGAGGGTTGTCATTTTGTCTTGTTTATTGTTTCCTTTGCTGTGCAAAAGCTTTGAAGTTTCATTAGGTCCCATTTGTTTATTTTTGTTTTTATTTCCATTTCTCTAGGAGGTGGGTCAAAGAAGATCTTGCCGTGATTTATGTCATAGACTGTTCTGCCTATGCTTTCCTCTACGAGTTTTAAAGTGTCTGGCCTGACATTAAGGTTTTTAATCCATTTTGAGTTTATTTTTCTGTATGGTGTTAGGAAGTGTTCTAATTTCATTCTTTTACATGTAGCTGTCCAGTTTTCCCAGCACCACTTATTGAAGAGGCTGTCTTTTCTCCATTGTATACTCTTGCCTCCTTTATCAAAGATAAGGTGAACATATGCGTGGGGGTTTATCTCTGGGCTTTCTATCCTGTTCCATTGATCTATATTTCTGTTTTTTTGTCAGTACCATAATGTCTTGATTACTGTAGCTTTGTAGTATAGTCTGAAGTCTGGGAGACTGATTCCTCCAGCTCCATCTTTCTTTCTCAAGACTGCTTTGGCTATTCGGGGTCTTTTGTATTTCCATAGAAATTGTGAATTTTTTTGTTCTAGTTCTGTGAAAAATGCCATTGGTAATTTGATAGGGACTGCATTGAATCCATAGATTGCTTTGGGTAGTACAGTCATTTTCACAATATTGATTCTTCCAATCCAAGAACATGGTATATCTCTCCATCTATTTGTATCATCTTTAATTTCTTCCATCAGTGTCTTATAGTTTTCTGCATACAGGACTTTTGTCTCTGGAGGTAGGTTTATCCCTAGGTATTTTATTATTTTTGTTGCAGTGGTAAATGGGAGTGCTTCCTTAACTTCTCTTTCAGATTTTTCATCATTAGTGAATAGGAATGCAAAAGATTTCTGTGCATTCATTTTGTATCCTGCTACTTTACCAAATTCATTGATTAGCTCTAGTAGTTTTCTGGTAGCATCTTTAGGATTCTCTATATATAGTATCATGTCATCTGCAAACAGTGACAGCTTTACTTCTTTTCGATTTGGATTCCTTTTATTTCTTTTTCTTCTCTGATTGCTGTGGCTAAAATGTCCAAAATTATGTTGAATAATAGTGGCGAGAGTGGACAACCTTGTCTTCTTCCTGATCTTAGAGGAAATGGTTTCAGTTATTCACCATTGAGAAAGATGTTGTCTGTGGGTTTGTCATATATGGCCTTTATTATGTTGAGGTAAAGTTCCCTCTATGCCTGCTCTCTGGAGGGTTTTTATCATAAATGGGTGTTGAATTTTGTCAAGAGCTTTACTGCATCTATTGAGATGATAATATGGTTTTTATTCTTCAATTTGTTAATATGACTTATCACATTGATTGATTTGCATATATTGAAGAATCCTTGCATTCCTGGGATAAACCCCACTTGATCATGGTGTATGCTCCTGTTAATATGCAGTTGGATACTGTTTTCTAGTATTTTGTTGAGGATTTCTGCATCTACATTCATCAGTGATACTGGCCTGTAGTTTTCTTTCTTTGTGACATCTTTGTCTGGTTTTGGTATCAGGGTGATGGTGCCCTTGTAGAATGAGTTTGGGAGTGTACCTCCATCTTCTATATTTTGGAAGAGTTTGAGAAGGATAGGTGTTAGCTCTCCTCT